GAGAGAGGGAGAGGGAGAGAGAGGGAGAGAAGGGGAGAGGGGGAGAGGGAGAGAGAGAGAGAGAATATCAATGTGATAGAGACACATCAAATGGCTGCCTCCTTCACGTGCCCCTACTGGGACAAGAGATCAAACCTGCAACCCAGGTATATAGCCTTGACAACAAATCGAATCCAAGACTCTTTGGTGTGAGGGCCAACATTCTAACCACTGATCCCTCTGGCCAGGGCTCCTTTTAAAAAAAACTTTACCCAAGGATGTGTTTTCATTGATTTTTTGAGAGGGAGGGAGGGACATCGATTAGTTGCCTCCCATACACGCCCCTACCAACTGAACCACCCGGTTAGGGCTATATAGTGAACTTACTTATAAAAAGATATCCTTGTGGTATTCTAACATGTAATTACATTTCATTTATAGCATGGAATACATAGATCAATACAGGTCTTTTTAGGTCACCTAATGAAGAGCCATGTACGACTGAGTATTTTTGCCTGAAAAGTTTTGGACTTATATATTTTCTCTAGTACTTGCCTTTGTAGAAAAACTATTTTTATTAATAGATTGTACTCAACTACTGTGACCAAAACCCCACAACTCGTCCGGATGGCATGGCTCAGTGGTTGAATGTTGACCCATGAACCAGAAGATCAGGGTTCAATTACTGGTCAGGGCACATGCCCAGATTGCAGCAGGCTCAAGCCCCAGTAGGGGGCGTGCAGGAGGCAGCTGATCAATGAATCTCTCATTGCTGATGTTTCTCTCTCTCTCTCTTGCACTGAGATCAATAAAAACATATTAAAAAACAAAAACAAAATATCCCACAACTCTAAGAGATTAATACACCTATAAATAGCCATCCAGTTATGGGAATACTATAAATCACATTTTTAAAACTTAAGTAAGTTTGACGTGATGGTCAGAAGATACAAAATTTCAGGTATTCAAGATGATAAGTTCTGGAAATCTACTGTATAACAATTGTGCAAATTTAAGGTGTTAAGTCACATTTAAATATAACTACTCTGCAGTTAGAATGATATTTTGTGGAAAACGTGTAACAAATTATAACAATTAGATGGCAAAGGAAAATCGAACATAAACAAATTATTTTTTTTTAAATCCTCACCCAAGGACATGCTTTAGAGCAGGGATGGGAAACCTTTTTTCTGCCTGCGAAATCATCTAGTCTATCCCTGCCAAGGCAACCCGTAAGCGGGACTCGAAATTCAATAAATTCAATTAAATGTTTGACCAAATATAGCAGGCTAATTTTTAAGTCAATAATTTTGTATGGCCGGGCCAGACCAAATGATTTTGAGGGCCCCATCCCTGCTTTAGAGAAAGGAAGGGAGAGCAATATCCATCAGTTGTCCTCTGTATGTGCCCCAACTAGGGATTGAACCTGCAACCCAAGTATGTACCCTGACTCGGTACTGAACCAGCAACCTTTTGGTGCACAGGACAAGGCTCCAATAAACTGAGCCACTCTGGTTGGGCTAAACAAATTCTTAACACAATTCAATGTCAATGACAATTTAAAACCAAAATATAGCTTTTATTTTTTGTTTTACACTAGATGTATGTCTTCTCTGATTTCTACAAGATGAATAAAATGCTAATATGTATTTTTAGAAACAACACCTCTCAAAATGTTATATAAGTAGCCTTGAGATGAACAGCTAGGGAGGGGGAAATGGGGAGATGTTGGCCAGAGGATACAAAATTTCAGTTATGCAAGATAAGTAAGTTATGGAAACCTAATGTATAACATGAGTAACAGTTAAGGACACTGTATTATATACTTGAAATTTGGTAAGAAGGTAGACCTTTAGTGCTCCTAGGACACAAAAGAAAACTATGTGAGGTGATGGATGGGTCGATTAGTTTGATTATGGTAATCATTTCACAATGATTATGTATATCAAATCAAGTTGTATACCTTAAATATATACAATTTTGTTAATTATACCTCAATATAGCTGGGGGGAAAATAAACAGCTGGTATACTAACATGTAATTTAATGTATATTGATAATAACACACATTTTTCAACATCTTCCTTTTGGTATTCTAAATAAATTTAAATTTAAAAAGGGTATAAAATGTCTGCTGGTATTTATATGAATAGGCAAATACCATCTATTTAGAAGCAGTTATTAAGTAAATCAAAAGAGTCCGGCCAGGCATGGCTCAGCAGTTGAGCGTGAGCCTAGGATCCAGGAGATCAAGGTTCAATTCCCCGTCAGGGCACATGCCCAGATTGCAGGCTTGATCCCCGGTTGGGGGCATGCAGGAGGCAGCCGATCAGTGATTTTTTTCATCATTGATGTCTCTCTCTCTTCCTCTCTCTGAAATCAATAAAGATATATTAAAAAAACAACAAGTAAGTAAAAAGAAAGATAACATTCTAAATACTTATTTGCAACTACACCTATAGGAGAAGAAAAACCCACAAATCTTGTGTTTCTCAAAAACTTTTATGTAACTTAGAAGATAAAAATATGTAGACCTTCCTCACCCTGAGGTTATTGCCAAGACCCTCCAAAAATAAGGCATACTCAGCCTTGCAAAATCACCAGAAGTAACTAAATGACTGAAATCCAATGTATTTAGTTCCAAGGTTTCGCTTTTTAGTTTGTTCTTCAGGGTATCACTCTTGAATTCCAACCCAAATAAGACTTTATGATTCTCCCATGCGCACATATTATTTTTTCTCCTGTTTGCCTGGCTGGTGTGGCTCAGCAGTTGAGCATCGGTCTATGATCCAGGAAATTAGATTCCTGGTCAGGGCACATACAAGGATGTGGGCTAGATCCCCAGTAGGGGGCATGCAGGAGGCAGCCGATCAATGACTCTCATCATTGATGTTTCAGTCTCACTCTCTCCCCCTCTTGCATCCTCTCTCTGAAATCAATAAAGATATATTAAAAAATAAAATGGTACTTTTAATAACTGAAAATTCTGGGAATTGATTAGCTTGAGTTATCTTAACAATTCTGTACTAAATTACTGATTTGAATGAATCTGGCCAGTCATTTTACCTCAGATTTTCCTCAACTGACCTATAAGACCCATGTGCCTCACCAAGTAATGTAAGGTGAACACCATATGAAACAATCTCAACAACAGAGGTTATCTTGGAGATTGTCTAATTCAATTCCTTCATTTTATTTCCATCATTTATAGTTAAGGAAACTGAAGTCCTGGTCGTATAAATGATTAATGACAGACTGGCCCATAGGACCTGAACTTAAGTGGCTAGACAAGAGCGAAAAACAGTTTGGGGTACCGCTTCATAAAAAATATATTTAAAATTTTATCAACTTACCCACGATAGGGCCAGGATTCACGCCATATTTCACAAGCTGATCCAGAAGATCTTCATTAGTGAGCTCTGTTACATCTAAATCATCTTTATCTTCTGGTCTGGGTTTATCAGTTTTCTTTGTGGCTTTCTGTAAACAAAGTCATTATCATTTCAACATGAATTTTAAAATGTTCATTTACTATATAAATAACACTGTATACAATAAACATGGAAATTCACCTTCAAGTTGATTTATAGTTATATTAAGCCTTGGCAATCTGACTAACCTAAAAGTAACTCATTGTCTGGAGATATTTTTACAAACCTAGAAACCAAGCAAATATCACATTATTTGGCCATGAATTAGAATTTGTTTAACCAAATAAAAATATGAATACTGCATAAGACAAAATTATGAGACATTATTTTTTAAAGACAGCTGCTAATAAGAACAATGATATCAATTTAAGAAAAATCTTGCCCGGCTGGGCCCGGCTCAGCTGATGAGCACCAACCGTTGTTTGATTCCCAGTCAGGGAGCATGCCTGGGTTGCAGGCTTGATCCCGTCGGGGGCGTGCAGGAGGCAGCTGATCAATGACTCTCTCATCATTGATTGATGTTTCTATCTCTCTCTCCCTCTCCTTTCCTCTCTCTGAAATCAATAAAGATATATATTTTTTTAAAAAAGAAAAAAAATCTTCAATAAAAACCTGGCTGTGATAAACCAGTGAGGGTACTTTCAGAAAGCTTTAATATACAGGGGTGGGAAAACATAGGTTTACAGTTGTGAGTACACGAAACAGTTTATTCTTGTATTATTATTTATTCCTTGTATTATTTATTTGTATTACAACTGTACACCTACTTTTGCCTACTCTTGTACATACTGCTCTTACCTAGATTAGGCTCAAATCTTGAAGCAACCCACACCTTGATCTCAAAATAGTTGCTTAGAGCCTAAAAGTTCTGTATTATCAAAACCCTGAAGTCTTTAGAGAAAAGACTTTTTAAAATCAAACAGACATACTCCCATGTTAGTGATCTACTTGAGTTTCCAAAATGTGTGGCTAGGCTAGAAACAAAAACTCCACTGTATAACATAAATACTTCAAAGAAAACCAATCAGGTACAGATTACTTGTAGATAACCCGTCCCACCATAAGAATGTTCAAACTCTACTATCAACAAAACATCCAGAAATTTCAACTTCATGTAATAGCCTGAAGTTTTCAAGAAATCTTTCTTTGACACTCAGCCTACTTTTTATTAGTTATTTGTATAAATGTTTTATCTTCCCCAGATGGTGACCTACTTGAGCAATAGTCCCTAAGTCTAGTTTGTTATCAAAACCTCAAAAGTTTTGGAAAACTTACCTCGTTTAAAGTCTTACCCCAGTATGAGCTCTATTAGGGCCTGAGAATCTGTATTTTAACGAGTATCTCAGGTAATTTTGAATGCAACATTTAATAAGGTAGTAGAAAGCAGGAGCCTTATATTTATATTTGTATCCCAAGCATCTAAAATAAAGAGTGCCTGACACAGGAATAGGCACCTGACAGATGTTTTGTTGAATGAACGAAAAGTGCCAACCTTGGAGAAAAAAGTCACTTTTTTTAAAATTCATTTCTTATTAAAAACAATAGAGGATTATAAAATCGAAGCAGGAAACCAACTCTCTTTATTTTCTTGAAACAATGAAAAACCACAGCTGTACAAAGAAATATTAGAGGTCAATAAATTGGAATAAGTAAGTTAAATAGAGCAGCATTCATAACAGGCTGCTTGATTTTATTTTTAATTTGTAGGAAGAAAAATTCCAGAAAAGTAATGCCATTTTATGAAATATCAAATTTAATAAGAATAAAAATTGGGAGACAGGTAGTGTGGTATACATAATTATCAAGCCAGAAGTTTCAATGAGGAAGGAACCAGTAGTTGTACTGATTCCTGTTTGCAGAAAGCTTTGCTCCTTTAACTAAATCATGTTAATCTTAGTTGCATTCAGTCAAAAATACTCAGTACCTACTATGTGCCAGGCACTGTTCTCCAGTTTCTTCCCAACTACCAGGTGATCTCTAAAATCTTTTTCAACTTTAAAACCCAACAGTTGCATATCATCATGTGTGAGTTACTTACTTTTAAATCTCTACCCGTAATAGCAAAGATGAAGTATAATAATTATTGTTGTAAAATAGATTTTAGTGAGTACTTATTATGTACCAAGTTGTACTAAACTCATATGTACTAAATTAATGAACTATAAAAATCCTTAGATAGTTAAAATCCCCATTTTGCAAGAGAAGAAACTGAAGTACAAAGTTGCACGAGTAACTCAGGCAATCTGCATATTATGCTGTATAGTAATTTGAACAGACTATGTATACATAACTTTCACAAATTTACCTCACCCAATTCTGAAAAATATATTATGGTAACATTGTATTGTTCTGGCATTAAAATAAAAACAAAAAAGCTTAGAAATCACGTTGTAATAGTATAAATTGCTGAGCACTAGACACTTTCAGAAATGTAACCTATTACAAGCCTCAACATAATTAAGTAGCTATTAGATTATTCCTATTTTCCAAATGAAAACTGAACATCTAATAGACAATGTTCATTGTTAAAGGTCATCTAAATAAGTGATTGACCTAGAATTTTTAAAAATGTTTTTACCAATTTTCAGAGAGAGAAGGGAAGAGAGGGAAAGAGAGAAACACAGACAGACACACATCAGTAGGCTGCCTCCTGCAGTCCCCCTACTGGGGATGGAGATCCCCAAACCCAGGCATGTGCCCTGACCACCGATCAAACCAGCAACCTCCAGGTGATGGGGTGATGCTCAGCCAACTGAACCACACTGGCCAGGGCTAGAATTTAAATCAATAATCCTGATTCAGAAGCCTATACACTTAACACTTTATTGTAGAGTATGATGGCCAATTTATGGCTTAATTATTATTTACCATCATTGGCATACTTTTTGTATTCTGTTCCATATCTTCAATTATTATTTACCATCATTGGCATACTTTTTGTATTCTGTTCCATATCTTCAAATATTTCCTGGTAAGAATTCATAATCCTGACCAGATCACATCATTGAAGAATGTTATGCTCCACTGGATTCAAAACAGATACAGTGCTCTGCCTCTTGGAAAGAACAGGAAGCACCAACTCTGTAAATGTTTATTTTTGTGTTGACAATCTAGATAATCCCAACACCTAAAAATACTGGTATCAACAATATGCATAAAATAAAAACCTTAGAAACAGGAAAATTAAAACCCAAAACCAAATTTTGGACACGCGTTAACATTTTTGTCATATTACACCAAATGAATCTAAGAGACCACGACGATGACTGGAAAAAAACAATTTCTCCTTTAAAAATATTCCTGGCAGGTGGAGCTCAGTTGGTTGAGCTGCTCTACCTTTGGCCAAGTCCACATACAGAAATGTTTGATTTCTTTTAATATGTTAAAAATCCACCACCTAAAAAACTGCCTTTTCTGTAACTCTCAAACATAATTTGGCTTTCTCCTAGATTGTAAATATTCTTTAAGAAATGTGAATCTATATATAGTTACTAAACACAGGGCTAACCATGACTAAAACATAAAATGTTATATAGGTAAAAGGAACGTTCAATAGAGCACAACTTTATTATTATAAATGCCTTAAGGTCCTTTTTTTCCTGTATATTCATATTTTTCCTATGCCTGACAAACTATTAGATTCCTAAGCTAAATTATAACTCAATTTTACTTAATGTGTTTTAAAACAGATGATGCTACTGGCCAACTATCACTATTAGCTTCTTCAAGTTGTTCACACTATTAAGCCTAGCCAAGGGTACACATTTTTTGAGTTTTAAATATTCAAATAGAGAGGCCCTAACAGCTTTTCTCTATATGTATCAAAGCATTAAATGATATATAAAGGGCTTAGCATGCCACTGGACATAGCAAGTTCTCTTAAAATGTTAATTCCTTTCACCCAGAGCTTATTTGCATAGTGCTGAACAACTTGGATAATATGAGAATTTTGTGGAGATGAGAAAATAACAAACATGATGATTACATTACAAAAATATCCAAAAAATTAAACTGTGGTGGAAAACAGGGTCAGCAAAAAATCCATCTCCAGTACTTAAGAGCATATGGTAGAAACTAAAAAACGTTGAATAATTAAACTGAAATTTAAAATTTTTACATTCAGGTCTTCTTACAACCCAAAGAACACAGGGTAGGTTGGGCATACTCTCTTTTAGAAACTAGCTGAAGGACAAACATCAAAACCAAGGTGGTGTGGGTTTTTTTTGTATAAAATGAGTAATCAAAATAAGAACAGTAATCCTATTTTAAAACATACAACCAAATACTTTCATGGCTCAAGAATAATGTTTGCACAGATCAAGATAGGGTTCTGCAGAAGATCTGTTATATTTTAAAAGTGTAGAGATTTAAATGGAGAAAAATTCATTTTCAACCAAATCTTTACTGAAATAATATGAGCATTACTTTCTTTTTTAGAGGGGCTGGGGAAAAACAGATAAGGGATATGCTTTACTTCAAAAGTAAATTTCTGTTCATCATGGAAGAGTCAAGTGGCTTTCTTCACGTCCACAGAACAAGACGTCAGACACAGTAAGGTGTGGCTAGTCTTTTACTTACTGAACAAATACTTATCTGGTACAATCTGCCAGGCACTGACTTAAGATATAAGATTCTCTGGGCTAAGATTTTCAATTAACTTACACCGTATCTATTACATCTTTCTTTCATTTCTATCTGGGTAGCCCAGAAAGCACATCAGACAGATTTCTAAAAACTAAAGTTAACAACATAATTTTGAAAGAAGTACTTTTGAGCTTTACTAGTAATTAGTAGCAACAACTCCAAGCTGCACATTCCAAGTCTCACAAAGCACCGTCCCTTACCCCAATCACTCCTTTTAACTACATTCTGTTAGGATTTGAAGTCTAACTAGACAGATTCACACCAGCAAAACAGCCAATAGACACCCACCGGACAAAAAACAAACTTCTCAAACAAAATACCCATTTGCTGGAGTCAATCTGAGATTTACCCGGGATCAAATATTCCAAATTGTGACACCGACATTATCAGAATGTCATAAAATAAACATTCTCAAGGTTCCGAAGTCTTTGCTTTCCTTGTACAAAATTTACCAAAAAGAAAAAAAATATCCAAACACCCAACCCCTTAATAACCAGAGTTCTAGAATTTTAAAATGTTTGCACGTCTATGATAACCGCTTAATGACGTACTTTTAAATGCTCATTTTAGAGTAACGCTCCCTCTCCTGAGAGCCTGTTGCTGCAATAAGAGTAACACAAACAAGAAAAACATAAACGGTTCAAAAAACCCTCCAGATGCAAAAAAAAAAAAAAAGCCACCACCACCCACATAAAAAGGCGGGAATTAATTTCAAATTTTGGTTAGCAATTAGTATGCGCCAATCGCCCTCCAGGGAGCGCTCTGAGACTGTGCCGCCAGTCGCTGCTGGCGGGAAACGCTCGAAGGTAACCCAGGGCCGTCTCGGGCTGACCCCTCCTCGGCGCTTTCGAAACCCGCCCGTTACGCGCCGTCCGAACGCCGAGTCCCGCGCC